CATGCTTATTTTCATGAACATTTTGAAAAAGCATTTAAAAGTAAAATATTGTGAAGTGATAAAAAAGTTATTTACATGTTGCAAACGATAAATACAATCCTCGTCGAGGTGTTAATAATGCAGAAGAAACATTGTGATAAATATAGCTAAACTACTCATTATGTGCAAAAAAGTCACTAAGTACTAGAATATGTAATTGTTTTTTTTTTTTTTCTTTTTTTTTTCTTTTTTTTTTTTTCAAAAATTATGCTCACCTGGAGGCAAGCAACTCGAAAGTCTATCAGATGCATGATTTTTTTTAAATAATAAAATCGGTAGTAACTATATTGTAGGTCTTCCAATTATGAAGCGGTTAGTATAAACAATATTTACGGATTATATTATTGTTTTAAGTATTCACTAAGTATTTTTTTTAATTGACACACATTGGAAAACAAAACATTGTTAGACATTATTGTCAGCATAGCAACACTAAAAGATCTCGGGAATGATATATCTTTATTGATACAATATTCTTATTGAGCAAGAATAATTCATATAATTGTAATAAGTAAAAAGTAGGCCAGATGACACACTAAAAAATAATATTAATTAACATTTCTGTTGTTTCGATTGTTGTTTGTTTGTGTGTTGAAACTTTAAGCATATTGATTCTGTGACGCTCAAAAAAAAATTAGGTAAACATCCAATCAAACACATAATATTATCATATCTTCTAAAGATTATTCGTTAACGTTCACAATACATGTATTCTCTTTTCTACATGATTGTGGATAATCAAGAAACAAGTCTCTTTAACACAATCATACAATTATCGTAACTTCTCGTTATTGAGAAATGCTGTGTTGATACCTGATCCAGAATGTAATTTCGAATCGATTCAGTTCTAGACGCATTGAATTCAGTTTGATTCAATAAAAGGCCTACTGTTTTATGAGATTAAAACCGGATCATTTCAAATGTTGATAATATTGATAAAACAAAATATTTTTTGATACAGTGTTAACTTCCATGTGTTGTAGCAAATAACGTACAGTTACAATTTATTCAAAACCACTCACATCATGATCGATATCTACTATTGATTGTAAACATTTAGTCTTACGCTGTGTGTTTTCTTTTCAACGAATCGTATCTTTCATCTTCAGACAAAGCGATATGGGGTCAAATAGATTGTATCTGAATATCACATTACTCAATGCTTTAGGTCTGTAATTATATATGTATTTAAAAGACTTCTCAATTAAACCGTTTTAGAATTTTTAAATCAAGTAGTATACATAATGTTTAACTACATAACCATACAACTCTCTTGTCTAGTAAATTAAATCATTTATATATGTTATTATGCATAAAGCCAATTAAAGGTCATCTTTTTGATTATTTAAGTAACGCAAAATGTTTAAATCATACTTACACATCAAATCTGAAAAGAAACAATATAAAGAATGAAACATGTAATTATCGATTTACATTTTGGTTTAATTCAAACAAATCGATCATGACATAGGGAACTATATTGTTAAAAAAAACGTTTTAAATTTCAATTTAATACCGTCAATGTGGTAAAAGGTAAAAGTAATTAATTTGGCGCATCATAACATGTATAAATATTGCATATGTAATTTAATATAATCTAAAGAATGTCTATACGTATAATAAACAACAGACATGCACTATAATCTACATATGGTTAATACTGTTAGCCAAGATACTTGTGATTTGCATCGACAGAATTCTTCAACACTTTCAAACTTTCAGTAGATCAACAAATCATATTCGGGAAAATATAATAGGTATTTAATCATGACTCTATTGAAATTGTGTTCCTTCAATTCAAATCAATGACCGTGAGCATGGTTACACCCATCATCTTGATATACTACCTCGTTATTACTAAGGCTACACGTTGTTAACAACACAACTTACTACTGTGATTATTCGTTAAAAAAATAGTTTATTAATGCTGTGACAACTTAAGTCGGTGCTTGTGAGCTAGAAGTTGGACAACTAAAGCAAGTATAGATAAAAGGGTAAAAAAGTTGTATTACCACATAAAATCATGTGAGCACGTTTGATATTTTACATTATTAATAGGAGGCAAGAGTGATGGTCCCGTTAATTTAAATATCAAACTATCGAATAATATTCCATTTGCACAGGAAAAAAATAATCTAGTGTTTGTATCCGAAAAAATAAAATGTATGATAAAAAATTTTCCGAGCCAGAGTTAAATTTGCATGCACGAATAGCGCAAATGCGTATTTCATTCGTAATGATATTATAACTGCATAAACCATTGGACTTATCAAATGATCCTCCCTACACCGGAGTTGGCTTTCTTAACATGATTAATGTAGACCGAAAAAAAAGATAAAATAAAAGTATTAATAAAATAGCTTCACATGTTTTGAGAATATAAATTTCTGTTCATGAGAACTTATTCACTGGCTTATCATTAACTGCGGTTTTACATGTATGTGCGTTTCAATATAATGAATTATGAAAACAATACTTGGTCTGTACACTCAGTTAAATTCTATTTATAACTAAAACATTTTTGTATTGAACTCTTAAAATTGTGTTAAGTGGTAATGATTTACAAAAGAATAATGATTTATGAATATCAATACATTTATTACCTTAAAAGTTTGGTATAGAAATGTGCAAAGATAAGCATAGAACAGAAAAGAAATCGTTATATTTGCAACAGGAGACAACTATTAAATGCTTGATAGCCTAGTTTTAGATGATATGTAATAGCGAAGTGAATTTTTTAAGATAGATAGCTATCTCGTGATCTTAATGATAGCTTGATCATATCATATCAATTTATGAGTTATGTAAAATTAATATATTAGAAAGGATATAATCAAACATGAAATCAAGTTATACAGTTAACATACACTTTACACAGACTAGATACGTTTGATATGCATCGACATAATTTTACATAACACTTGACTGATATTTTCATAACTGTGACAGCTATGCTTATATGTATATTAAAAAAAATATATAATGTAATTTCACATAGTCAATTAATTAAACGCGTCATTAATAGCAAAAAATTAAATAAATATTAACACATGACTCTAGAAAATTTATTCTTTAAGCTTATTACCTTTTCATTTGATTGCCGTATAATGAACTCAGCATAGTTACATTAACTAATTATCATAATTATTACTATGCTATATCGTCAGTATTATTACTAGACGTTTGATAGCTCGGTTTGTCGAACTCAAACATCAGCTTCATATCAGGATAAATGTTCGGGAAAAAAAACGAATAAGAAGCGTCATTTTATACCAAAATTGTGCTAGTGCTCCTATTGTTCGTGATATAACGACTGCAATATTAACCCTCTGAAGATAGATGATAATGCGCGAATATATTTAATATGTAAGTATTAAAACTCCTTTATTACTGTACGTAATAAAAAGGTAAAACATGTAGCTAAATATTAATAGGTCTGCGTCATAACATAATTTCTTGTATGATCTTGTATGAATTTCCTTTCTTTTTATTTTGAAACATATATGTTGTATTACATTAGGCATAGCAAATACAATGTAGTATGCAGCAAAAAAGTACGAAGTTATTCACAAAAATGCAGTTGATAAAATAAATAACATGCTCATTACTTTATACATAATCTGTATTAACCCTGCATATTCAGTCAGTAGAGAACTTGAGTATAGGAATGCAGTTGAAAACGCATTTCGTTAAAGTACCCTTTCTTTCACATGAGTAGATATATTGCTATAAAAATCTACATTAAAAGACAAATAGATAAGCAGATATTTTAAAGAACCTATTTATAACAGGACATGGAAGATATACGCCACCTTCCTCATGCTTCCTGCAAATGTAATGATGAAAGAAGTCATACGAAGAAAACATCAAGTACTTTTTGAACATCAAACACTATGTCCGAAACAGTCTGACATATTTCAACTTCATAGATGAGACATGTTAAGTAGCAGGAACAAGCGAGAAACAACAAAATATGAAAAATGATAACAATACCCTGATTACCATTCTTAACATATCTTAAAATATCGAGAAAATCAATATCTACTAATATTGGGATGCACACGGTTAAAATGTCATGTTATTTAATATGCAGATTAATTAATTGGAAAACGTATTTGTTTTGTGCTGTCTATAACTGTAACATAATAATTATTATACGTTGTGTTCTTTGCCTTAGACATAAAAAAATCACCTGATTTATACTGTCAACATGTGATAAAAACCATTTTTTTTACATTTTTATATTGTGTTATTAGGTGATATATATCAGAGGAATAATGATATATAACTGCTAATAGTTTGTGATAAGTCATAATATATAATGTTTAGTAAAAGCATGTTTCATAAAATCGGTAAAAGTATTAACGTTCAGCGTTTAATTTGTATAATAAAGTAATTATATAAAAATGTACATGGAACCTTATGTTTGTATTAAATGATAGCTGTAGCATATCATATTAACATATGTTATGTAAAAGTATCAAAATCAGAAAACTTACTTAAAAAAAGAAATTGTTGTTGTTATGTTCTTTTATCCCAAATACAAAGTAAACCTTTATATAGAAGTTGTATAACAATATAGCATCATGTGTAAGATTTTCATATCACAGACATGTGTCATTAAGAGCATCCTTAATAATAAAGTATTACTGCTGTTTCAAAATACTTATAACTTACTGCTTTACTATTTATATTTATTCAATTTATTTTAATTGATAGTCACAATTTACATTTCTTGCATATCAGACTGGTGTTTCCGTTAGATTTACCCATGCCGGAAATTTCATCTGGCATGGGGGTGCCAGATGAGTCTCGTGCTTTAAAATGACATCATCAGAACTACTTTCGGAACTTCTTTCTCCAAATATGGCAATGCTAAATCAATGGTGAACATTCGTGACAGGGTGAAATAGACACAGAATAAATAAATAAATCTGCTTTTTTGTTGTATTTATTTATAACCATAATAAATCATTACAAGTGATTGTTAAAGTTCTAAACATCTTAATAATTAAAAAGGCATATTAAATCATCTGATTACACTCACTTCCGGTTGCGTTAATTAAACAACAAAAAAGATAAGCAAATAACTTTAAAGGTTCATACACCATACTATTTATATAAATTGATCTCATGATTACAGAAAATGTCATCCAAATCTGAATTTAAAGTAGGACACACTGTACAGATAGGTAATAATGGTGAGAAAGGCAAGATAATTGACATTGTCAAACCTCTTGGTACATACTGTATGTACAAAGTCCATACATTCTACTCTGGTGAAATTAAGGTTGCTGCCAAGCATGAATTAGTGAAAGGTGTTCCAGATGAACATTTTCAAAATCTATTCAACTGTTTTTCACCAGAAGATTTTGATGCAGATTTTGATGAAATAGTTTTGCAAGAATGTCTTTCTTCAAATAACACAACTACCAGTAATGATCCACAAGAAGTGCCCAACAAATCTGTAAATTTAAGCAAAGATAAAACGGCAAGACCACAATGAAATCATCCGAGTCTAAACGCTTTGCAGCAGTAAATTTACCCCAAATGAGTTCCGGCAAATGCAAAAGAACAAAAACACTGAAAATAAAACTAAATCCCACTTAAAATTGATGAATGAGTTTCTTGAAACAAAACATGAAGGTTGCCTTATTCATTTGATTCCTCCTGAAGAGCTGAACTGTCTGAAAGTTTGTTGTCTGTTCGACAGAAGGATGGATCCAAGAATGAGCCCTCTACTTTGAGAGGAATGATCAGTAGTTTAGACAGGTATACCAGTTGTTCAATTTTTCATTTTGTCTAGTTTCTGAAAATCCCCTTTAACCTGAAAATAAAGTAATACAATTTTCACTTTTATAAAAAACAAATAAATAGAGGATAATGAATTAACTGAGTTTAAATTTACATACCAAATTATTGAACAAGATAAATAAAATCATATTATGCAGCCTCTGATGGGAATAAAATTGTTTTATTCCACGTGTTCAATAAATTCATTATTGAATCTACATGAATTTAATATCTTCAAAATATACATATCACATATTCAAAGTAAAAATGAAATATCTTTTTATTACATAGAGGATAATGGATGAGTGTAGTTTAATACTAAATATATTAAACGAGTTGATTAAAAATATTGTTTTATTCAACGAGTTTAATAAATTTAGTATTGAATCTACAGGAATATACATGTATGTTCTATTTATCACATATATAAAATGAGAACAGTAAACTGTTAAAATGAGTAATTTTTCATTGACGCGCCTAAAGTGTAAGGCTAACATTAGCGCGCTTTTAGTTTTACGCTATGTTTATATATAGCGCAAATGACGTCACGTCAAAGTGTTATTACACTACATTCAGGATATTAAATGAGTGTAAGTTCAATACTGAAATTATTGCACGAGTTGAATAATATTATTTTATACAACGAGTGCAATAATTTCAGTAATGAACTTACACGAATTTAATATTCTTTTTATCGCATACCAAAAATAAAGACCGTTTAAAGTGAAATAAGTAATTTTGTCATTTACGCGCCTATAGTATAACGCTAATATTTAGCGCATCTTTACACTATGTTTATATAACGCTAATGACGTCACGTCAAAATATATGCACGGCCGTGCAATACCATATTTACGGAGTCGCAAAATCGGCACGGATGTGTGATATAGTATAATATCGTTTTTATTTAATGGCTTTATTACACTCCTGCGCCGCATATTATGTGATAAATCACTTAATTACACTTCTGCTCCATAGTTTATGTAATAAGTATTCTTTATGACCTTGTACTGGTTTATTAATAAAGTAGCATGCTTCCAGATTCATGTGTTTTTTTATGAAAATTTCATAAAATAGACCAGACTATATTTTTATCAGTCATTTTACATTTTAGAATGGAAATAGATATTAATTTATTTTTACACAGTTTATCAAACAAATATTTGAATTGAATCACTTTCAGCGTTATTGATTATATTCCTGTGCAATTGTATTCAAACATTGCATTATATAACAACAGTGCACAGATAATATTGATGTCCTTAAAAAATATATACAAAAGGGAACAAGATCAAAACAGTTTTTTTTTTTTCATCATAGACACTTGGCAGAAAATGATTACGGCCCCTCTGTAGCACGGGGAAAGGAATTTGCTTTAACAATGACAACATTACAAAGCAAGGGGAAAGATTTGAAAAAGCAGGGGAAAGGGAATAAGAGGAAGGCGGCCAATGACATAACTGATGTTTGTTTGTTTGGATTTTACGGCACGTCAACACATAACTGGCCATATTGTGCCGAATGCTATAATAGGCTTAAAATATTATGTAAAAAATGACAATAGAAATGAGCCAATTAGATCCTAGAATACAAGTTTATCTTTTTTAAATAACCAATAATGTTTTTTGATGGAATTGTATTAAAAGTTCTTTAAGTGAATTTACAGAAAAAATCTATTACGGGCCTGTGAAAAATCATGACATTCAAGAAGAAAATGCTTGACAGTAAAATTTTCATTACAACCTACACAGAAAGGGGCATTGTCACTTGTGAGGAGATAAGAGTGGGTAATTTTAGTGTGTCCAATTCGGCATCGAAGAAGAACTGTTTGATTACGGCGGTTTGACAGAGATAGAGATGGTGACATATCAAGAGATGGGTTTATATCGTGAAGTTTATTAAAAACGGCATTGTCCCAATTTGCTTTCCATTCAGATGATACGAGTTTATTTATAGCCGGTCTAAAATCACAAGCAGGTAACAATAAGTCAGTTTTTTGAAAATTTAATGATTGTTTAGCTAAAGCATCTACTTTTTCAATTCCTCGTATTCTTACATGGCTTGGAGTCCAATATAATTTAACATATTTTCTTTTTAGTATATCATGAAATCGCAAAAGAAGTTTCTTTTCCATGATATTGTCAGATTTTATTTTTAATGGGTATTAAAACAGAAAGCGAGTCAGAAAATATCACAAATTTATCGTGGGCATGCTGTGCTATGTATGACAATGCTAAATCGATAGCTTTTGCTTCAGCAGTAAAAATTGATGCATTATCTGGTAACCTCATGCTAGATGTAAAATTATTTTCAAACACAGCCGCACCTACTTTGCAACCTTCTTTTGAACCGTCCGTATAAATATGTATAAAATTTTCATGTTCTTCTTTAATTGCTAGAAACTCTTTGAAATATTCAGGTGAATTTGATGCCTTTTTATATCTGAAAGGTTAATATTTATTTCCGGGGAATTATAAGTCCAAGGTGGAACATCCTCATCGTCATTTTGAATGATACTGTCTGGATTAATTTTAAGTTTATCTAAATCATCTTTTAAACGAATGCCTAATAGTTTAATTTCCTTTGGTTTGTTAACAGTATAACTTGGTTTGAAAATAATATTTTAGCTGGATTTTTTCTATTAGATGAAATTCTAGTTGCATATTGAACTGATGAAGAGGTGGATACATTATATACAGCTGGAGAGTTGGGCAACCACAGCCCATCAAGTTTGATTAACACACTGTGGTATAATAAGACCCTGCATTTTGGCATTAGAGGAGGTGCCATGGAACACAGGTTGTTAAAATATACATTTACATCAATCATATACATGTCTGACTGTTTTTCAACAGTCAATGAAAATTCTTTGTTTTATGAAATTAAAGTCTTCTGGTCTAAGTCACCTCAAGCTAAAATAAATTTTTATTAAAGCTGCACCTTGAAAAGATTACAATAAAAACTTGTAACAATGTAAATGTTTGCTTGCATCAGGATATTTTCAAATAGATATGCATCATTCTTGATACAGAGGATATTGTATAAGTTCAATACTGAATTTATTGCACAAGTTGAATAAAATAATGCAAGCCTCTGGCAAGAATGATATTATTTTATTCAACGAGTTCAATAAATTCAGTAATACCCAAAATAAAAACCGTTTAAAGTTTAACCGCTTACATTTAGCGTGTCTTTACTGTAAAAACTTTACATTTTGTTTGTATAACGCTAATGACGTCACATCAAAATATATGCAAGACCATGCAATACCATTTTGCTGAGTTGGCACCGGTGTCTGATAAACTGAAATAGGAAAATTAGACTAAAGTAAACTAGTCTATTAAATTAGTCTGTAGATAAGCTTTTAGTCACAAAGGTAAATTTAATTATGCAAAAGAATTCAAATTGGTTAGGTCTCAACAGATGGTAGGATTTTGAAGTACAACACCAATTAAAAGTAAGATGTATAGGCAAATCATAATGTGTGAAGGCTACTATTTCTTGATTTTGGAAACCTTAAGTCTAGATGTAAGGGATAGGACATATTCTATTTTGAAAATCTTGGCGTACAGATTTTTACAGACCTCCCACAATGACAAGTATCAGATAACCAAATTATCTGCTAATAATGGGTGTAATGAATGAAATTCAAGAACAATTAGGGCTAAAAGGTAAACATAGAAGTAAGATGGAGTAAAAATGATGTTGAAAAACTCTTCAGGAGACCCAAAGTTATATTATGTTCGAATCCCAAATTATTCCGAAAATGATTATGTCACGGTATTGAATTGTTCTCTAATTAGGGAAGGGGAGGTAGTTTGTAGGCTGCCAGAAAGCTAAGTCAGTAGAGCCGAAGTACGGTATTCCAAGGGTCCCAGGTTTGAGTTTCGGTCAGGCTTCACATTAAAAAAAGATATATATATTTTTTAATGGAGGTGTTTCAATAATTACTCATGGCATTAGGCAAAAGAAGTATTTAGTGAGTAAAGTATTTAAAGGATCAATGTAAAGGGATCCTTTTTTAAAGGAAACCTCAGATAATTCTTACAGTGTAGAATTACCGTCTGAATGCAAGTGTTGTATAGCTTTGAAAATTGTACATCTTATCTGTAATTAGTGCTGTAAAACTAAATCCTACCGTCCGTTGATGCCTTATGCTGCATTTTAAGAATCTTTAACAAATGTCTTACATGTATGTTTTACGAGATAATACTAAATGGAAGATATATTTTTATTCAAAATTAATACTATTTAATAAATTGGTGGGTTACGGCTCTAATCAGGATATTTTCAAATCTAATGTATTTGGAAGACACTGCTGTAGTAAACATATCATATTATGTTAGCCTCTGGCTTAATTAAGTAAGTTCAGGAATTATTACACCATGAATTGTTGTCAGATATAACAATTTACATTGTACATTTAATATATCACAGATAATTTCTATTATTTTAAACCAGGCAGCTGAAGTGGGGAAATCTTTCTCTTTGTAAAGTGCGAATTCATAGAATTTGCAGAGAGGCAAACAAAAACAAAACAGGGGAAGAAAGCAATAACAACCGAAAACAAAATCCTAGGTTATATGCAACTGGAAATGACAGGTGTCCACTTAACACGTACAAGACATATGCCAAACACAGGCCCTCACAATTCTCAGGTACACGCACATACTAATAAGGATAATTAATTTAACCGGCCTGGCAATTTCAACAATATTTACACATTATACAAATATAAGCAATTTTTTACTATAGTCCATTGAAAAAATAATCAAGTAATTTTATTAAAAGAAAGTGGCTAGCCTTACGAGCCCGTACGGCTAGCCAAAAGTTCTAGCCGTACGTGAGTCACGTACGACTAGCAAGGATACATTGTATTGGCTAATCGTACGGCACAGAAGTCGAAAATGCATATGTTATTTTAAGACTTTAAGCGAGGATTTTAACCAAGAAACAGCAATTGATTGCCTGGTATGTTTACATTTTAGAGATTAATCGCCTTGTTGGCTACAGTAAAAAAGTACAAATATCGAACTTTAAATTGTCATCTCAAGACGTTGAGGAAAAATAGCGTTTGATCGCAGTAAAATAACATCAATAATTATTGAAATAGTTTACAAAATTTTGATTTTGATTAAAAACCCGTTTTTGTTTAAGTTTAATTTTCGACACCTTTAAAATGAAAAATTATTGTTGTTGGGATCTGATAATTGCGTCAATTACCGCCGGTATAGAAGTTTGTTCATCATTAAGGGAAGTTTGCATGTTCCGTGAAACGCATTTTAAAATTCTATTATCAGTCCCTGAGTAGGCTTTAATTAAGGCTTATTAATTGATTGTGCTTTTATGTTCGATATGTATCTACTGTATTTGAAAATTATACAAATATTTTTGCTTTTCAACGTTGTTTTTTTTTCAATGTTCTTTTTATTTATTCCACTCCGATCATTATTTATTTGATCCCTATGCTAAATTAACAAAAATTCACCTTTCATACAAATAAAACAACAAATCATAATCATGAAGCACAAAATAACATATAAATGTTCGACTTCCATATAATTTTGAAAAGTGCCGTACGGCTAGACAAATTGAATACAGCGAGTCCATGCTAGTCGTACGTGACTCACGTACGGCTAGAACATTTGGCTAGCCGTACGGGCCCGTACGGCTAGCCACTTCCTTATTAAAAAATAATATTATTAGCAATTTTCAAAGTCCATTAAACAAATTACCAAGCAGTTACTAAAAATAGGATCTTACAGGAGTTGTGATATACATTGTGTTAAATTTAAAATTCATCAATTTCAAGAAATGCTTAGAAAGTGTTTAGGTTTGTAAAGTTTTCACGGCCGAATTAGAAAAAAAAATGAAAAGTATTTTCCTATGTCATTTTCTGTAAGACTAACAGTAACTTATTATTCGTCATCTATGAAATATCTCGTAAAGTACAATTCGTTGCCTTTCTATTTAGTTTTGTAATAGATATATCTAAAATACTCAACTTTTGTGCCTTTCATTTCAACTTCCAGGCGATGACCACCCATTCTATTTGGCAGTTGTGACCCACAAGAAGTTCCCGCAAGAAGACGAGCAGTGGTTTTTGTCGGCACCAATTGGTGTCAACAAATTGAAAGATCTCATGAAAGTCATGGCCAACAATGCTCAACTTCCTGAAATTTTGAACGGCAAACGTCTGACCAACACAAGTGTTCGAAAACGTCTTTGTGAGAAACTTCTTCAAAATAATGTCCCGGACACACAGGCTGTACTCATTACAGGCCATAAAAACCCATAGTCCCTCAATAATTACAGGGTTTTATCCAATCAGCAGCAAAAACAAATTTCAGATATGTTGTCGTCCGGTTCATCTTCTGTTGTTGAATGTCGAAATCAAATTTCTTTAAATGTTTCGAACAACCAAACCTTATTTTTCGCTCAAAATGTTCCGTCATTGAGCTTATTTGCAAATGCCCCTATTACAGGTGGTACTTTTAACATAACTATCCAAAACACAGACAAAAATTGCACAAAATAATTCCATAAAGGCGAATATAAACGAAAATCATCTGAAATCTGTGTTCTCCATGTGTTGACACTTTCAATATGACCGACTTTCCCATGTTTCGTTGGAAATTAACTCATCTGTTACGTTTTTGTTAATTATGAATTTTACATTAAACATTAAAATAAAGTTATCAAATTTGCAATTTATATCGAATAAACTGGTAAACACGTTGATTTACTATGATGAATTCAAAATATATACGTATGCTAACCAAACATTGTTGTTGTTTTTTTTCTTGTGTAACTACCGTAGACATGCGTAATTTTCATGTATTCTTGCGCGGAATGAATGAATGAATGGAATGTAGCGTAAATTCATACGCTACTATAAAAATAGTTATGGATGAAAATGACATTTAAATGATATGAACCATTTATTAATAAAGGTAAACAATTTAAAAATACCATTGGATATGCAAGAAAAAACATCTGCCATGTGTTTGCGGTTCGGATCGGAATATCCGTCCCTCGGGTACCTGCCCATGGGCGGTAACTCGGCAAGCAAAACATGACAGATATCATTAGTAATTCTATACCAGTGTAACGTAATTACAAATCATATACATAACACCACTTATTTATGTATGTGGTTTGTGTCAAAGTACATTCAAGTATATTAGAACATGTAAATGTATTGTACGTGAGTAAATAACAAAACAAGTTAAATGATAAAAATGAATCATGAAGTAGTATACTTGACTGATAATGCTTTATCAAAAGAAATAATAAAAGATACATTGCCAATCCGGTAAATCAGATGTACTTAATAAGAGCAACGTGATTTATCACGTTAAATGTATGTTTACATTCATATGAAGTGCGGAACATTTCGAGAGGATCCAAAATAATCATCAAGCATAAACAGTGATTATTTTTGATACCTAAAGGAAAGATGATAACAACAGTATGTATTGTCATTTAAAAAGAAACACGACTGACAACCTATAACATCATCATATTCCAGGTTTTTTGATAAGTGAACTTATTGTAAAAACGATATAGGTATAAGTGAAAATAAATCAAATCATTTTCTCAGTAGTTGATTTTGTTTTTTCTATTTTCATTTAAAATTACCAATGATTTGAATTACTTATACGATCTTCGTAAACAAAAAATGAAATTACAATTAACGTTTACTCTTAAAAATATAGAACCCCCTTTACAATAATAATTTCAATGTCATTGATACAAAACATTGATTGACTATTAGACGGCTCATTAAAATGTGATGTGTGTCGTGCTCTTCGTTATCATGTTTAAATAATTGTTTCATATTGATATAGCAATACTTCATATTTTCTTTCACAATATATTATGAATTGATCTAATTTAGTTTCTACACATAGTTAAGTTAAACATATATTATATTTGGCTATGAGGCTTCTATCTCGTTTAACTAATTATCTTTAGGAATGACATAATCGCCTCAATAATTAATATTAAAATGTGCTACTGTTTCAACATTTAACCGTCATTTGTTTATAAATCTTTCATCTAAGAAAAAGTAAATTTTTATAATGTTTGTTTTATATTTTCCTTAAATTGTCATTGTAGTATCTAGTGACATTAACTTATTCTTATTGTTATACAAAACAACTTAATGCTTTGGTTAAAATCGTTATTGAAGATAAATGTATCAGTATTTTCAGCATACGTTTTCAGCTTGGACATGTTGCAAGGATCTGGCATAAAAGCTTTTAAATAATACAAAACAAGATATTTATTTCGTCATAGAATACATCGATACTACGGACTTCTATTTCCAGTGCAGTGACACATCTCACATTTATTTATTACAATACTATACCTTTATTGAATTAAGTTATTTCCTCCAAATAGATGACAAACACCATATTGTGTGTTTTGCATTACCCTTACATTATATTATTTACTGACTGTATTCGTTATTTTTTTAAAACCACAAAACCGTAAAGCTTTAATGGCGTCCTTTGGTGAAAATCATTATTCAAAATAAACGTATCAGTAGTTCAAGCACAAACTAAAATAAGTATTATGAGCCTGTATATATTTTGAAAGCTTTAAAATTATTCAACAAATGTTAATTGCGTCATGGAATGCATCAACACTACGTTCTCCGTATGACAGAAATACTTGTGTCAGTGCGGTGACAACATGCAGCATTTATATTTCTTTTTCGGTCTACTATATAGATTATACTAATGCTGGTCAGCCTAAATGACGGCTCTTTACTATATTTATTATATTTCTCGAGATATAAGATGCTACAAAAGATGACATGATAAAACCAGTGGCATTGGGTATATTTCTAATCATTCTTTGCTTTGAATTTGTCCATAGTATGATCAACATGTTCGTTGATTAAGAGCCTGATGTAAATAAACATTCATTATGCGGATGGTATATAAGTATACAAACGTTCATACTTTTTATTAAGAACTATTCATATTGTCAAAAACATAATTTCACATTCTTAATCCGTGGGGTAACATTGAGTCAATGTTTTTATAGTAGTTCCATTTCCAGGATATTGTACTAAAAATACGTAAATTAAAGTTATTTTCTATTGCTTTTCTTGACATATTCTTCTCAAATTTGCCTTTTGTTAAATCCGATGAATATTATTAAGCGAGCACAACGCCGTTAAAACGTATGGATCGATTATTCATTATTCATGTATCAAATCGAACTGTTCCTTTCATAAAAAACAAAAAAGCATATGATTGTACAACAAATACCAATGCCTTCAGATTCCTGCTAATTTTCATTAACATTTTGAAAATTCAAAGTAACATATTGTGAAGTGATCAAACAGGATATTTAAAAAGTAATTAAAATTCCTGTTACTGTGTTAATAACGCAGACGAAATATTGTGATTCTTACTACAAAAATACTCATTAATTGTAAAAAATAATTTAGTTCTTCAATTTTTAATCTTTTTTCTATAACGCAGAAGAAATATTGTGATTCTTACTGCAAAAATACTCATTAATTGTAAAAAATAATTTAGTAATTTTTAATCCTTTTTTCTATTCCTAATATCTTATGCTCATATAGAAGCAAACAGCATTTAAGTAAATCAGAAGGAAAATGTTATTTTCATTTCAAACAATAAATCGCTAATATTTCTTCTGTATGTTTCCCCCATTAAGTAAATTAGTACAAACAAATCTTTACAGTATTATAGCTTTACGTAAGTATTTTCATCCATAAAACACACGTCTTAGACACAATACCTTGTTGGACATCATTGTCAGCATATCAACATTCGCCGATAATATATTAAATGATATATCTTAATTGTTATAATACTCTTAATGAGCAACAGCATTTCATATAACTGCCAATAGTTAACTAAATGAAAGTAAACCAGATTACTAGATACGTGGAATTGAAAAAAAAATGTTCTATTAATGTTCATGTTTTTTTTTCACCATATTTTGTTTTTTGTTTACAATGCGGCACATTGTTACATAACTGGCAATACCGCGCCGAACACGATGATTGCTAACATTAGATTATTTAACTTGAAAATGTGTTATTACAATGTCATAAATTGGACAAATTAAATATTAGGATACACGCTTATTTATTTAAGTTAATCAATGCTTTTGGAGGAATTGAGCCAAAAGGTTTTGAAGGTAAGTTTTACCCGGTAATATCTATCACAAACCTATTCAATTCATTGCATCCAAGAAGAAAATGTTTTACAATAATTTATTACAACCTATATAACAAGGAATATTATCGCCTATTAAGATATGAAAATGTGTATTTTAAATGTGTTCTATTCGATATCTAAGAAGAAACTCATGATACGGTTTAACATTGTGTGGATACAACATCATGTAGGAGTAAATCAGACCTGCCATGCATGTCTTCTACAACCCAATCAAGTATATAATTAGAACTGGATGATAAATCCTACAGTTTGGTAGTTAGAAAAATAGAACTGCATTAAACACTTTCGTCAATTTGAAACCTTATTGCATAATGATCCGGTACTGTCAATAGCATTAAGATAAGCATCTAATCAAAAACATAATCGACCATATTTGTTTTCTTATGATTATTCATTAAATTCAATAAGATGAAAACCGGATCTATGATGTCTTACGTACTTTTGACACATCCATAAACTTTTTAAAACAATTTGTATATAAGATAAATCCATGAAATCGGTTAGTTAATGTATTAAACGGTGTATTTATGTTGAATTAAAGTTATATGTCTATGTTGGACATTTACAAACTGTAATTAGTGTATATTTGTTCAATAGATTTGTTTATTTCATTTTTGAATATTTATTCTGCACAAGAGATACGGACGTCGAGATCGTGATCCTTTTCCGAGTTAAATAGTGTTTGTGTCTGTGATTGTGCTTCAAACATATAACGCTGAACTACAATTGTATCACCATCAGCGATTATTTCTATAAAGTTGATTCATAAAAATCACTGGATATTGTCATCATGAACCATCAATATTTTATATAAGGATATATGCACGTCGCCTACGGTTTGAGGTCCCACCTGCATAACAGGTAACAACTCTTACAAGTGTGAATAAGGACTTTGTAAGGTTGATTCTTGGACACTGACTGATAATTAAACGTGTTCATTTCGAAAAATAAACATACATATGTTTTTTTTCTATATCATCAAATAATAAACGTGCACGTGCATATGTTGGTTAATGACCTAAAACTCGAATTGTTATTTTTTTTTAATTCTTGACATATAAATATAAAATGCACAATTGCGTTTAATTAGGATAACAAGAATGTCATATGCATGTGATTCTGATAGCATAATTTGGTATTATGTAAATATAAGATTAAATAGTAAAGACGTATACCAAAATACGTTAATGTGACTGGGATGAAAGTTATATATTTCAAATGAATACTCTAACTATAACATGTGACGTTTAACTACGCCAGGTGGTGTTTCCTTATAATATAAACATTTCAACAGCGTTACAATATAATATACCTTACTATTTGCTTTTCAAAGACAATATATGTTCCGATAGTTTCGGTTTAAAGTTGCCGTTTGATTAAACTTATTAAGTCAGAAAGCCCCACCCCCAACCCATGTTAAAGCAACTCTACATGTTCTGCTGCTATTTTCAAACAACACTTTAAACCTAATCGATTTATCTTAAAAATCATAAATCAATTTTAGCCTTAAGTAAGGTTTAAATTAAACAAATTGTGTATTGATATATTTCGTTTTCCCTCAAAAGACTTCAAGTTAGGTTATTATCCCTTCGTATCGAAAATGTAAGACTGGAAACCTATCACTTCAATTATAACTTTAACTGCTGACAATAATTAGTAAAACAACATGAAAATAACATTTATCATGTATTTGGTGTTTGGTTATCATAGGCCAGTTGCTCACAGCTCTGTAAAAAATAACCGTCAGTTAAATAAACAGTACGTTAAAATAGCTTAACGACTATTACTTAACAACAAGCACATTATGATAACAGATTTGGTATCAGAAACCATGTTAAAAGGGGCAATAACCTTCAGTATTAAGTTGAGACATTGGTCAAAGAAACAAAATAAAAGTGTTTAAATCAAATCTTAACACGTTTCACATTATTCTCTACAGTCAAGTGCATTATAACACGGTAAATGCATGAAACAAAAAATAATGTTTTCACCCATATGTAATTGTAACAAAGTTGATGCATGTCACAAACAATAATGTGTTCACCTGATGGCATATGGAATATGACGTCAGTTATGACTTCAATAACGAAATGACGTCAAGGAAATTACAACAACATTCATTGTCTTTAAATGTAGTTCAACATATTTCATCATTTTCTCTCTGATCAGCATGTTAGAATGAAAATCGATATTCATAATGACATTGTGTGAGCGTTTTCGTAAAATAATGTATGATTTATAGTTTAAGTTGTTTTTTTTTAATTAGGCCTATATGGCTTTGAGATTATATTTCTGCGCATTTGAGCTTGATCATTGCATTATTCTACAAAGACGCAAATAAAATTGATATCAATATCTAAAGTTTTGCAAGTGACAAATTCACGA